TATATATATATATATATATATATATATACTAGAAACTGATTACAACGCCTATGTGAATCACCACCTGAAAGTCTCATGGAAACTGAATGCAGCACTGAGGGCGATCCCTACCGTAAAGATCTTGGAAACCAATGAGCTGATATACTGTATGCTTCAGCATCAGTGATCCAGGAGATGCTTGGCTGTTAGAGCAACCATGGAGCCGCCTAAAGCGGTACACGAAAGAGAATGAGGCCAGACGAATAAACAGGCTGTTCGCAACACAACCTGCGAAAGTGTACGGTCAGTGGCAGGGTCCTAACAGCAGAGCAGACCCACCAAGACTGGAAACTGAAAGGTGCTGGAAAGGCATATGGGAGAAGGAGGTCGCAAATAACAGCAGTGCACAATGGCTGGTGACTCTGAGAGAGGAGCACAGCAACCTCCCTGAACAGAACCCAGAGAGTTGCAACAATAAAAAAAATTATCAAAATTAATCGAGTATCAAATTGACCAACAACTATTTTGATCATTGATTAACTGATTGGACACCACATTAAACTTTAAATTGTCCAAATCCTTGGAATTTCAGCCTCTCACCAGTAAATATTTTCAGATTTCAGGAGTCCTACAAAAAAGTTGACTGTATATCTTTTTTATTTGATCAATATAAAACAATGAATGATGCAAACATCTACTGTTACATTTTTGCCTCATTTAAATGTTACGGGCCAATCCAGTTTAAGTGAATCAAAATAAATTTATGTTTGTGATTTTTTTTTTTTGCTGCCAATGTCAAAATTATAACATGTTTTGGAATAAAGGGAGGGAAGTGATCTGATTCATTAAAAAAAAAAACATTCAACTCATGAATCGAATACAATACAATACAATACAATACAATACAATACAATACAATGTTAAAAGTGCATCCACAAATAAATCAAGACTAATATTGCTGTCCGTACCGAAGAAAAAGCAGCTATAAAAACAGAATATAATAAAATGGAGGAATATGCGATTGTGAAACTGTCACTGATTATGGAATTTGAACCGGACATAGCTGGTTTATAAAAAAACATACATCGCATTCAATGACGTCACCAATGACACGTAGTCAAAATGGCGGCCACGGCGATGGTGAGTGGAGGAACGAGTACTTTTTCTTCTAATCACACATTCCCGATTGTCTGTTCCGATTATAAAACGGGCGAAATGTCTTGATGGGTCACCTTTGTGTCTAAATTACATGGTAGATAACACTTTGAAAACGAATAGCGATTTAGCTGTTGTTTCGTGTTGACGCGCTTGCTAACTTCCTGGTACTTAGCTAACATCCCTTAGCTTCCTCCGTGGCTGCAAAAAACGGATCCAACGTATTTGTCAGGTCAATTGAACTGTGTTGACAATATTGAGGAGGCCTCTGATGATTGTATTCAACTATCATTCATTCATTGATTAACAGAATTAAAGAGAAAAAATAGGCTGCAGAACATTTCTGACAGTGCAGGAGTTGCTGCCGAACGTTGATCCAACAACCAGTGTTGGGCAAGCTACTTGGAAATGTAGTGACCTAAGATACACGTTATTCTACAAAAATTTCCACACTGAAGCTAAACACCAGAGAAATACAAAGCACTCGTCTACAATAAAATGACAAATGTGGTCATAGTTCTCCTACAGTGGATGTAGGGTTTTTTTTGCCCCTAGTTAGAGCATCAAAGTAGACCACAATTTAGTTTTGTACCGAAACGAGCTTATTTAAATGATCAGCTCACCAGCAAGCTCAGTAGAGGCCTGAAACGATCACAAACAATTGAATCAGGTGTGTTGGAGTAGGGAGGGATCTAAAACAGGCAGGATAAGGCTCTCGAGGAACTGGAGTTCCCCACCCCTGATATAAGGTGTACCCAGCAGCAAATGTCCCAAGAATGCTCCCCACTGCCTGCTCTTTTCGTCAAAAAAAATAAAATGTCTCCACAGCGCTCAGAGTGCATCTGATTAATTCCACGGTTTGCTTTCATCCAGAGCCAACCAAAACATAACTCAATGTATGCCCTCACAAATTTGCACAATTGGGAGTCTTGGATGTTGACAGGCACCGTCCTTTTGGGGTTGAACAGTATGAAGGTCACTGACGTGACACCTCCATTGTCTGTTTATCAATGATTCAAAAATCTGAATTAGGACCACACTAAATAAAAATAGATAATTGTGAATGGGAATGTTTGAGGGGGTAAAATGAAGAGACAGAAGCAGCACAGAGAGTTAAGAATGTGTCAACACGAGTGAACCAACAAAGTATATTTTTGAAAATCATTGGCTAATTAATCGGTAACTGGTATTTTTGTTTTTCTGCCAAAAATTGGCATCTGCTTCAAAAAATCCATATCGGTCGAGCCCTACTATGTCCTATGCTGGACTCTAAATTTCTTAAAGGGCTATTTTGAGACAGTTTATTACTATCAAACCCAAAGGAAATAAAATACAATACAATACAATACAATACATGCTGATTTATATAGCGCTTTCACAACAGCGGCAGCTGTAACAAAGCGCTTAACAAAACAGTTAACATAAAGTAAAATAATAAACACAACAGATAACATAAAACACGGACAGTCGTGCAGTCCTAACCACTTTTCCAGGATATAACAAACACAAACATTGTTTTTGAGGGGGATGCCAGGAAAATGTGAACACCCTCCCCGTTGACACTTCAAATTTCCAAATGTTTATTCTATTAGTGCTCGGTATGATGTCAAATGAAAGAATACAAAATTTGCCTGCCACGCTCAAGCAGTGATGACTTAAAGTATGCTGTCATTTGCATTTACTGTTTAGGAAAATCAAGAGAAAAATATAATTTACATTCGTATTTGGAACGCGTTGTAAATTGTGTGCAGGGTTCCCGCGGGGTCTTATACAGTCTCAAAAAGTATTGAATTGATGAATTTGGAAATAATACAGTGAAATGTCTTGAAAAAGTCTAGAATTTCGCGCAGCCTCTTTCAATTCTTGTTTTTTTTTCCTCAGGGTGTTTTTTCTTTCACCTCCTCGAAATGCATGCTTTTTTCTTTGAGTTCGGTGATTGATTCGGCCAGTCAAAGCTGGCTCCCACTGATTAAGTCCTTTGTTGTGTTGACAGTGTGTTTTGTGTCACTGATGATGAACCTTCTCCCAATTAGTTTGAATGCATTTTCTGTAAATTGCCATGTCAATGGTTTTATAGACTTCAATATATTTCTCAATGCACGTGTATATGAGCCAGCTTTCAACAAAGGGTGAAAGCAATCCAAAAACAACCACAAGCTGTAATTTCCGCTGGTAAATTTGTTTTGATTCCTGAGATCAGTCGCCATGTCACGTGTCTGTTACAGGAGACGTGGTGGGCCTTGCTGCTCTTGTCCTTGGTGCCTGTGGTGTTGCCCTTTTACGTTCCTGGCGTTGCTCCCCGGGACTTCCATGAAGGGGATATTGTAGATATTAAGGTATGAACACTCTCAACTGTAGCTATTTTTTTTTTCTTTAGACATGCATCTTCCTTTTCCTGAGGATCGAAAAGTCAATGGACAAATGAATGTCATCTGTCCAATTATGGGCTGGGAAAAAGTCATCTAAAAGTCACCACAAGAATAGGTCGCCACAAATATGTGTCCCAAGGCTTCGCCTTCACCACGCACACCATGCACAAAGACATTTCCAGTCAACATGAACCTTTGTTCCTTTGAGTGTAAATTAGTTGGTGGCGGGGGAGGTCAGTCTGCTAGAACCCTCTATTGGTGAAAGATGTGACTGTAGTCAATGATGTCTTGACATGGTGTGGTCACAGCGGTGATACATTTGTGACCGTTTTTACACCAGGTGGCCCTTATGACACAACTCACCCATTTTTATCCGGGATTGTGACCGGTAGTAGCTGAGAAGTGGGGTCTAGCATACACACTCGGATGTTATCTTTCATCATCGGTATCTGGTCGCCTGTCTCCAAAGGAGCCAACATTGCACTCCATTGCATCTATCAGCCTTAAAGTAAATCGCGTTTAGAAACTACCATGGGCAGTTAAAACAGACTGTTAAGCTTGCATCGCTAAGTGGAACGTACTGTATGGTGTTGGTAGACTACAAGTTGAAACCGAAGTTTTATTTGCATTGATGTGCATAGGTGTGTTGCTGGCTGGAATGTGGGACTTGTTGTGGAACATGCTTCAACAAGGGGTGGAGGTGGGGGG